TTTGCGTGTGTGTGTGTGTGTGTGTGTGTGTGTGTGTGTGTGTGTGTGAGAGTGTGTGTGTGTGTGTGAGTGAGAGAGAGTGTGTGTGTCTGTGTGTGTGTGAGAGAGAGAGAGTGTGTGTGTGTGTGTGGGAGAGTGTGTGTGTGTGTGTGTGTGTGTGCATGTGTGTGTGTGCCCGTGTGTTCTGTACACATGATAAGGTGAAAATGTGTTTCTTAAATTCAGAGCTGTTAATGTAATATTTACGCATATATCATGATTATGCAACAGAGCAGAAGGTGAAACGGATTTTAAGCCAAACGACTGTGTCACAGATCCTCAAACAGGATTGGTGTAGTTGACGGGGAAGAGTCCGGTTCTCCCACGCAGAACACCTTTCCACCAGAAACGATCGGACTGATCTAAAACCTCGATAATATCTCCAGCGTGAAAGTTCAGCTCATCTGCGTCCTCCGCAGTGAAGTCATACATGGCCCGAACCTGCAGCGCAGACGCCTGCACACAAACAAACAGAATCGTCTGATTTAGCTCTATTGACAGATCGAATGCTTATGCATCACTGTGCATATCATGTCACCTGTGTGAGTGTGTGTGAGAGTGTGTGTGTGTGCCTTCACGTGTGTGTGTGTGTGTGTGTGAGAGAGAGAGTGTGTGTCTGTGTGTATTTGTGTGTGTGGGAGAGTGTGTCTGTCTGTGTGTGTGTGCCTTCACGTGTGTGTGTGTGTGTGTCTGTGTGTCTGTGTGTGTGTCTGTGTGTCTGTGTGTGTGTCTGTGTGTCTGTGTGTGTGTCTGTGTGTCTGTGTGTGTGTCTGTGTGTCTGTGTGTGTGTCTGTGTGTCTGTGTGTGTGTCTGTGTGTCTGTGTGTGTGTCTGTGTGTCTGTGTGTGTGTCTGTGTGTCTGTGTGTGTGTCTGTGTGTCTGTGTGTGTGTCTGTGTGTCTGTGTGTGTGTCTGTGTGTCTGTGTGTGTGTCTGTGTGTCTGTGTGTGTGTCTGTGTGTCTGTGTGTGTGTCTGTGTGTCTGTGTGTGTGTCTGTGTGTCTGTGTGTGTGTCTGTGTGTCTGTGTGTGTGTCTGTGTGTCTGTGTGTGTGTCTGTGTGTCTGTGTGTGTGTCTGTGTGTCTGTGTGTGTGTCTGTGTGTCTGTGTGTGTGTCTGTGTGTCTGTGTGTGTGTCTGTGTGTCTGTGTGTGTGTCTGTGTGTCTGTGTGTGTGTCTGTGTGTCTGTGTGTGTGTCTGTGTGTCTGTGTGTGTGTCTGTGTGTCTGTGTGTGTGTCTGTGTGTCTGTGTGTGTGTCTGTGTGTCTGTGTGTGTGTCTGTGTGTCTGTGTGTGTGTCTGTGTGTCTGTGTGTGTGTCTGTGTGTCTGTGTGTGTGTCTGTGTGTCTGTGTGTGTGTCTGTGTGTCTGTGTGTGTGTCTGTGTGTCTGTGTGTGTGTCTGTGTGTCTGTGTGTGTGTCTGTGTGTCTGTGTGTGTGTCTGTGTGTCTGTGTGTGTGTCTGTGTGTCTGTGTGTGTGTCTGTGTGTCTGTGTGTGTGTCTGTGTGTCTGTGTGTGTGTCTGTGTGTCTGTGTGTGTGTCTGTGTGTCTGTGTGTGTGTCTGTGTGTCTGTGTGTGTGTCTGTGTGTCTGTGTGTGTGTCTGTGTGTCTGTGTGTGTGTCTGTGTGTCTGTGTGTGTGTCTGTGTGTCTGTGTGTGTGTCTGTGTGTCTGTGTGTGTGTCTGTGTGTCTGTGTGTGTGTCTGTGTGTCTGTGTGTGTGTCTGTGTGTCTGTGTGTGTGTCTGTGTGTCTGTGTGTGTGTCTGTGTGTCTGTGTGTGTGTCTGTGTGTCTGTGTGTGTGTCTGTGTGTCTGTGTGTGTGTCTGTGTGTCTGTGTGTGTGTCTGTGTGTCTGTGTGTGTGTCTGTGTGTCTGTGTGTGTGTCTGTGTGTCTGTGTGTGTGTCTGTGTGTCTGTGTGTGTGTCTGTGTGTCTGTGTGTGTGTCTGTGTGTCTGTGTGTGTGTCTGTGTGTCTGTGTGTGTGTCTGTGTGTCTGTGTGTGTGTCTGTGTGTCTGTGTGTGTGTCTGTGTGTCTGTGTGTGTGTCTGTGTGTCTGTGTGTGTGTCTGTGTGTCTGTGTGTGTGTCTGTGTGTCTGTGTGTGTGTCTGTGTGTCTGTGTGTGTGTCTGTGTGTCTGTGTGTGTGTCTGTGTGTCTGTGTGTGTGTCTGTGTGTCTGTGTGTGTGTCTGTGTGTCTGTGTGTGTGTCTGTGTGTCTGTGTGTGTGTCTGTGTGTCTGTGTGTGTGTCTGTGTGTCTGTGTGTGTGTCTGTGTGTCTGTGTGTGTGTCTGTGTGTCTGTGTGTGTGTCTGTGTGTCTGTGTGTGTGTCTGTGTGTCTGTGTGTGTGTCTGTGTGTCTGTGTGTGTGTCTGTGTGTCTGTGTGTGTGTCTGTGTGTCTGTGTGTGTGTCTGTGTGTCTGTGTGTGTGTCTGTGTGTCTGTGTGTGTGTCTGTGTGTCTGTGTGTGTGTCTGTGTGTCTGTGTGTGTGTCTGTGTGTCTGTGTGTGTGTCTGTGTGTCTGTGTGTGTGTCTGTGTGTCTGTGTGTGTGTCTGTGTGTCTGTGTGTGTGTCTGTGTGTCTGTGTGTGTGTCTGTGTGTCTGTGTGTGTGTCTGTGTGTCTGTGTGTGTGTCTGTGTGTCTGTGTGTGTGTCTGTGTGTCTGTGTGTGTGTCTGTGTGTCTGTGTGTGTGTCTGTGTGTCTGTGTGTGTGTCTGTGTGTCTGTGTGTGTGTCTGTGTGTCTGTGTGTGTGTCTGTGTGTCTGTGTGTGTGTCTGTGTGTCTGTGTGTGTGTCTGTGTGTCTGTGTGTGTGTCTGTGTGTCTGTGTGTGTGTCTGTGTGTCTGTGTGTGTGTCTGTGTGTCTGTGTGTGTGTCTGTGTGTCTGTGTGTGTGTCTGTGTGTCTGTGTGTGTGTCTGTGTGTCTGTGTGTGTGTCTGTGTGTCTGTGTGTGTGTCTGTGTGTCTGTGTGTGTGTCTGTGTGTCTGTGTGTGTGTCTGTGTGTCTGTGTGTGTGTGTGTGTGTGAGTCTGTGTGTGTGTGTGAGTGTGTCCCTGGTGTCTATATGGATGTATGGTGATTCTGGTGAATGGGTGAAATCACCAAAAAATGAAAACAGTGCAAAATAATTCAAGTCAACTAAAATAACAGTAGTAGAAATAGACTCAACATGCTTATCTCTGTCGACTAAACTGTGTTCGCACAGACAGGAAGTGTGAGTGTGTACTTGTTTAACTGTACTTGTGATGGCCAAATGTCCTCACTTACTTAGTGAAATATCATGATAGCCTACTAGTGAAAAAGTGTTTACTGCTGCTTACTAGTTCAAAAGGTCTTATAAATCGATTAAACCATGTTTGTATTTAAAGGTACTGTTTTGCCCTAGTAAAGGTTTGTTTAGGTCTAGAGTTCAGCTATAGAAAATATCATTAACCTGATAGGAAAACAAATGAAGTCACTAATATAGTGAAATAAGTGTGAGTGTGTTTGTGTGTGAGTGTGTGTGAGTGTGTGAGTGTGTTTGTGTGAGTGTGTTTGTGTGTGTGTGTGTGTGTGTGTGAGTCTGAGTGTGAGTGTGTGTGTGTGTGTGTGTGGGTGATTTTGTGTGGGAGTGTGTGTGTGTGTGTGTGTGTGTGTTTGTGTGAGTGTGTTTGTGTATGTGTGTGTGAGTGTGTTTGTGTGTGTGTGTGTGTGTGTTTGACCTGTGGTGGTGGTGGTGGAGGTGAGGGTTCGGGTGGGCGAAGATAGGCTGGAGCTGGTGTTCTGTAATTGTGTCTCTCCTGCAGAAGAAAAGCGTAATGTGAGACTGAAGCTCATCTGATGACTGACTGATGTCACATGAGTGACAGCGGCTGTACCTGAGAGATGGGCGGGGGTTCAGCAGACTTCCTGTGCAGGAAATCAGAGGTATTCTGGGTGAGAGAGAGAGATAGAGAGAACAGGAAGAAACACAAACAGTAAGTTTTGGAGAGAAAAACATGTTCTGAAGACAATGTGAGCTGAGCATGAGTGCTTTAGATGTTTGCCAAGATGTTGTTAGGTGGTTGCTATGCGTTTACTTGGGTCCTGTTTCTAGGGTGTTAATGCTTAACAGTTGCTAAGGTGTTGCTAGGATGTTCTCGGTGGTTGCTATATTGCCCTGGGTGTTGGTATGGCAGTAGTAGTATGGCATGGAGTAATATTTTTTATGGTTGATGCGTGGCTGGACTCACCCGCTGCTCTGTGAGCAGGAAGACGCGGCTCTGTTTGGAGATGGAGTTGTGTGTGTAGAACTCCACCAGTCTGTTGAGGGAGCTGAAGGTCTCGCTCCACAGGTAATACTGACCATGCCGGTCTCTCATCACTTTAAAGTGCTGCACGTCGTTCTCATGTCTGACGGCACAAACACACATGAATAACACGTTTATATTCACATCAGCATTCAAGATCACCGGCACAGTGTGTGTGTGTGTGTGTGTGTGTGTGTGTGTGTGTGTGTGTGTGTGTAGAGTATGTGTGAGAGTATGTGTGCGTGTGTGTGTGCGTGTGTGGTGTGTGTGTGAGTGTGTCTGTGTGTGTGTGTCTGTGTCTGTGTGTGTGTGTGGTGTGTGTGTGTCTGTGTCTGTGTCTGTGTGTGTGTGTGTGTGAGGTGTGAGTATGTGTGTGTGTATGTGTGTGTGTGTGAGTATGTGTGTGTGTGTGTGTGTGTGCATACTGTACCTGACTGAAATGGAGAATTCTCCCGGTGAACTCTGGGAGCCTCGGATGACGAAGGATCCGATTGGTTGACACATCAGCTCTTCCTGTGCTGAGTGACGGCTGGTGTTTTCCTGATACCAGCTGGAGAAACACTGCTTTAATACCACACCTTCTCAACAAAATGAGTTTGCCTGTGCTGTTGCTAAGGTGTTGTGAGTGGTTGCTAAGGTCAAACGTGTAGTTTGAACAGCAAAAATATACACATGATCTTGGGTCTCGATTTCTTCACTTTGAACAGTGTTTTTAAGAAATTAAGTTGATTAAAGTGAGATTTAATGCTTTAATAAAAGTGAATGTTTCCCAAATTGAAAATACGCTTAGGAAAAGTACACATAATAATTAACTAAATAAATACATATTTTTTTGGTTGTCTCAAAAGCCACAGATCAATCTTTTTCTGTATTTATTCATCACTACCAGTCTTCTCTTCTAGATGTCACTGTCTTATTTTTATTTGTTCTTATTTACAATACATCAGTTTTAATTATGTAATATATGTCTGAATAAATCTCAAAATGATAAAAGCAAGTTTTCACTATTTGACTGATTATATTTTGACAGCGTAAACTGAAAGCCAAGACATCTCTTTTGATGGAGCAGGTCACATTTCTGTTAGAGTGATTATACTGTCAGAAAGACAGAGCTTCTGTTCACACAGGCAGTTTAGTTTATACACGTGGCTTTATCAAAAACACCACTAACTGTGCAATGCTGAGTGTCAGTGATCTCCTGTGTATTGGTCAATCTGGTGTTACACAAACAGAATATTGCAACTGTTCCGTTCGCTCTCCGTGGCAAGCCGTTTTAACATTTAATCCTTAAAACATACTCGTATCTAGTTTAATGCTACTAGTACTTATTTTGTTAGCTACTAGTATATATTCCAGTAAGTACTAGTACTTACTCATTAGCTAATAGTACTTATTCTTCAGATACTTGCACTTTTTACTTTAGGTACTAGTAACTTTCTAAAGATACTAGTATTTATTCATTAGATACCATCTTTGATAATAGTAATTATTTCAGTAGTGACTTGTAAGTATTCTACTGTTACTAGTAACATATTTCACATTTTTACCTCTGACTTCTATGGATTTGGAATAAGTACTAGTATCTGCTGAATGTGTGCTAGTATCTATTGAATGTGTGCTAGTATCTATTGAATGTGTGCTAGTATCTAATGAATGTGTACTAGTATCTAATAAATGTGTACTAGTATCTAATAAATGTGTACTAGTATATTTTGAATGTGTACTAGTATCTATAGAATGTGTGCTAGTATCTAATAAGTGTGAACTAGTATCTGCTGAATGTGTACTAGTATCTATTGAATGTGTACTAATATCTGCTGAACGTGTACTAGTATCTATTGAATGTGTACTAGTATCTAATAAATGTGTACTAGTATCTAATAAATGTGTACTAGTATATTTTGAATGTGTACTAGTATCTATTGAATGTGTACTAGTATCTATTGAATGTGTACTAGTATCTAATAAATGTGTACTAGTATCTAATAAATGTGTACTAGTATCTATTGAATGTGTACTAACATCTAATAAGTGTGTACTAGTATCTAATGAATGTGTACTAGTATCTACTGAATGTGTACTAGTATCTAATAAATGTGTACTAGTATCTAAGAAGTGTGTACTAGTATCTACTGAATGTGTACTAGTATCTAATAAGTGTGTACTAGTATCTACTTAATGTGTACTAGTGCCCAATAAATGTGTATCTATTGAATAAGTACTAGTATCAAATATGTTCTAGTATCTAGTAAATAAATACTAGTATGTAATAAACAAATACTAGTATCTATTTAATAGGTATGAGTATCTAATAATACGTCACTATTGGAAGTCCATGGCAAAAATCTAAACGTGTAACTAGTAACATCAGAATTGTTACTAGTCACTATTGAAATAAGTACTAGTATTTAATGAATAATCACAAGTAGCTACATACTAGTAGCTAAAAATAAGTATTAGTAGCATGAAAATATATACTAATGAATGTTTTATAGATTAAATGTTAAAACAGCTTGCCATAGACTCTGACAGTCGTGTTTCAGTGAGACGTGACGTCTGTTACCTTGGGAAACTGATGTTGATGTAATTCCGTGGAACGAACCCTTCCATGCCGTTTACTTCTGCTTTGAACCAGTCGTCATTGGTGCCTACAATCTACAGAAGAGCATGTGATGATTAAACTCATGGAAAGAGCTCCTGAGGAATGGACAAAACTCTGGTTTGAAGTATCTGAAAGTGTCGGTGGACATGTGATGCATACAGTACGTGCAGTGAGCTGCAGATGTAAATGTTGAACACACCTTGATTATATCTCCCTTCCTGAAGCTCAGCTCGTCCGCCGCTGTGCCGGCGAAGTCATATTTCCCTGTCGCCTCCATGATGGAGACAACTCAGAGACTAGAAGGAGAAACACTGAAATGAAAACTGCAACTTTACAGAGTCAAACACATCAAACCACATGCCAGTCAAACACCGCTGACATTCACATCGTAACCAGCAGAACACTCACACTAAAGCACAACCACATGAAAGAGACACATCACCCAAACATGTCCTTTCTGTCGTTTACTGACCCTCAAGCCACTCCAAACCGGCTTGACTCTTTGTCTTTTGGTTTGGACGACGTGCATGTTTGGTGAATGTTGACTGAATGAACTTTCCCAGTCAGTCTTTCTTCTTTCGGTCAATCATGTTATGCTCCGGCCTGAACTCACACAGACATTCAGTTTCAAGTGTGTTTGGCCACGACTAACTCAACATTTTCAGCTGTATGTTCACTGAGACGCCAGACATCACAACACAGCCTCTGATCGAAAACTCACACAAACGATGACCTATAAAGAACTCAAATGACATCCAGCTAACAGGCAACATTGTCAGTAAGGAACCAACGTAACGTTAATAGAACATTTGTTCAAAGTTCTCTGCTTATCGAAACGTCAGCACAAAAACATTTTTTATTCATCGTTCAGGGAATGTTTTTTGTTTTGTTTCAGGCTGTAATGTTTTTAATGTTACTTCTTGCTTCAGATGGCTCCGAGAACAAAAGTAGCGTTCCCACAACTTTCTTTTAATGTCCTCTCTAATATTGAAACAATCAAGAACTGGACGTTTTGAATGTTCTGAGGACGTTCAGAAATAAAGTACATAATGGGAACGTTTGCAAAATGTTCTTAGAGCATAATTTTGTCAGCTGGGAAGTGTCGTTTCTTAAAAATAAAAGTTTTGGCTGAACAAAAATTTGCACAATGGTTTGCACCAATCTTTTTGAGTTATAACACCTACTAATGAAATAATGTTTAACCAACAAACTACTTTGACTTTGAGGAACTTAATAAATAGCATAAACACACATAAACACTGTGAACCAATTCAAGCATTTCAGGTTAAATTAGCAGACAGCAAAGCTGTTAATTAAAGCATGTTAATTAATGAATCAGTCTTTGGCATCAGTGCCGTCGTCGTTGCTCTGCGTCTGAACGTCTGACTTTGCGGCGTTTGCAAACAAAACTGGTTTCAGACAGACTTCTGAGGCTGAGCTTAGGTGATAACAAAGCGAATATTAATTACTACAATACCAGTTTCTCATTGGAAATGACTTCAAAAGGGAGAAAAGTTGGTCAGAAATGTACATTTACACACAAACTGATCGTCAACCGCAGCTTTCAGATGCTATCTTAATTTATTTAGCTAAACTAGACAATCAAAAACAACAGATTGTGGGATGCCGCCTTCAGAAATCATGAAATGACACGATCACTGGATTCGTCCTCCCTTCGTGTGCTGTCTGCAGAGGCAGTATTCTCAGCTTGTGGACGCAGCCGTAGAGTCATTGTAGACCTTCATGTATCCACCCACAATCTAACCATGAGCTCTGCTCTTCAGCACAACGCCAACCACAGAAAAACTTCAGCACAACAGAAACTGTCTTCAAATGTCAAACACACTAACAGCTCCGTCCCGTCACTTTAAATCACACTTACTGTCAGCATTTACTCTCTTTATCAAATCCTGCAAATGCATGCTGGGAACTAAAAATCCACTGCCCAGTTTTCAAAGTCATCAAGACAATTTCAAGTTACTACAACTTAATTAAAAAGCACAGAAATTTTAGTTTAAACTGCACAATACTTGTACTTTTTCAAAACTCTATGTGAGCTAAAGTGTGGATAATTTACGATTGCTCAAATTACACCGATTCTTTTCTCACTCCACCAAACTCTATACCTGCAGGCCAATTTGCACATGTTTACATGCTCTTTTAAGTTCAAAACCTAACATAATACAAAACTGAACGAGACAGAACCCTGCTACATTTCTACAGTAACACCATAGTGAAATATATTCAGAATCTAAACCATCAAACACTATCAAAACAGAATTAGCTGAACACTGTTAGTCTACACAAAAGGAAACTAATTAGAAATAATTTTGTACTGTAATGTAACCATGGAGCATGTAACAAATTCTAAACAGTAGAAAGGTGTCATTCTCGTTTTGTAAAGACATTTTATGGAATTGTGTAATGCTGTCTGTGTTTTTTAGGTCATTGTTTTACGAGTGACTTGTTGAGTGAAAACCTTTAGTGTTATAAAAGAATGAGTTAATTTGAATCATGTATGAAGTGTTTTGGTAGCTTTAGTGCATTTTGAATGTGAAGTTAACTGCTGTGCCACGTTGAAAGTTGGTTAAGAGAGCTGTGTGAAGAGTTTCGAAAAGTGACCTACATATTGAGTAATACGTCCTAGCGAATGTAAAAAAAAAAAATTTGAATTTGACTTGCAGCAATGTATTTATTTAAGTTATTTAACAGGTCCCCTGAATTATGAAATTATGACTAAACAGGTTGCTTTTCATACACTGTAAAAAAAATCTGTAAAATTTACTGTAAACAACAAGCAGCTGTGGTTGCCGGAATTTTACTGTAAAAAATACGGTAGCAACGTTTGAGGTTTTACGGTTTTAACTTAAATTTACAGTAAAATACCGTAATTTCATTAACTGATATAATGTTAATATACCAACCTACTGAAGTACTGAAATCTGTTTTGTAGCTTTGTACTACACTGATAACCACTAAATGCAGGAGGTGATGAGAAAGTCACACGATGAACCAAAGCATCACAAGCAGCTTTTAAATAATAACATATATAGAAGCTGCACAGCGTCATTCACACAAACACTAAACACCATCACGGTAACACACATGAAACTGAAGTAAACATTCATTTAACAACATTAGGTGTAACACACAACCCTAATGTACAAAACTGATAAGAAAAAACTAAGAAAAACTGTTATTTCAACAAAAAAAACATCAAATTTGAAATGTAACGCAGGGAATTCTGGGAATGTCAATTTACGGTTATTCACTGTAAATTATACAGTCTTTTTCACTTCCAAAAATGGTATACTACCGTAAAATTAATGTCCAATACAGTTTTTCACCGTATACAGTAGGGGAATTTACCGTTAACCATTTAACAGGTTTTTACTGTAGCAGTTTTACAGTCTTTTACCGTTAAATTCAAGGTCATTTTTTACAGTGTACAGTAGTTTGTGTAAATGACTTTAATTATCACTTCTGTTTGAGAACAATTTTAGAAAAGCATAATATCTCAGGACTTTTTACAACGTTGACAACATCATGGCTGAGAAACCATAGTGGATTAAAGTATGAATGCTGCGTCGATTAAAAGTCAGTCATCAAATCAAAATGTGTAAATGAATTTAAGTATTTAAAAGTAAAAAGTCAACTTTTTAGAAATGTTCTCATTGGAGTGACTTTGAAGTTACTGAATTTTTTAATTCATCGTCAGAAGATTTTATAGCTGTTTGATGCTGGAATATAATTGTGTATGTATTGATCTCCAACCATGTTCATCTGCAATGACTGGTGATAAAAACAGCAGTTAAAACGACACGATGCATTAAGAGTAGGCTATTTCTGAACGGCAGTACTAAATGAAAAAAATATGATCAAAAATGAGAAGAATGTGCACATCGTCATTCTGTCCAGAATGCATCGTGTTTTCTTTCTGGAGCATCAGTAAATGTTTTCATCTCCTGTAATAGTTGTGTTTGAGTCTCTCATTGTCCTCCGTGTGAAAAGATGGATCTCATAATCATACGCTCACTGTTGGAAAGGGGTCAAATACGCAGAAGATGCTGGAAAACCAGAGAAAGTGCATCAGGCAGATGAACTGCTCATGAACAGACATCACAAAACATAGTCGTGGATCATCCAGGTAATGATGAGTTATTTTGTCTTGTGGAGGAAACGCAAACCTCTGTTATGAATAACAGACAGCATGCAATTTTCACGATGCCACTTATTTTGTTAACATGATGCACATTTAGTATATTCTGCAGGGGTTTGTGATCTTCTGAGCAGAGCAGAATTTCCCCAGAATGAGGTTTGTACTGTAAGCAGCTCGTGTTCTGCTCACCTGCTTCCGTGCGTTTGTGCAGCGCTGCAGCTGCACCGATGCAAAGACTTTCATCTCATTTGTGTATCGGTTTTGCTCACGGATCACAGGCTCAGTGTGAACCACTGACGTGCCTGACGTTAAATAGCGGGGCTAGTTGTCACCCTTCACTTTATATTGTTCAGTGGGGTTATTTAATGAAATTTAACAAATTGGTATTCCTTTAGATTTATTTTATTCTATTAGAATGTGTTAAAATTACAGCATATAAGACATGTGACAACTTGCCCCTAACCTGATTAAAATACTCTTGTTCTGACAGCACAGTTCAATCTTTAAGTCTGAATCTACCTTCTGACTCTTGTCTGATGTCAGTGTGCTTTTGTTGTGTCAAAATATTGGGAATTAAAATAACAAAACAAGCATTTGTGTAAGTTTGACTCATAGTTACTGAGATACTGCGATTCTAGCCTCGGTTTCCCCTTTAATATACTGTACATGTGTGAGTTTGTCATCAGTAAAAACACTTTTAACAGATGGATATCTCCTGATGAGTCACTGGTGTTTATTCCTCCTTTTTAATGCTAAAAGTTCAGAAAGAGACGCTGAAGGATCGTGTGAATCTAGAAAGATCATTGTACTTACAGCTCATGAAATGATGATCTGTATGTCTGTCGTCTGAGCCTCACGATGTCAGCTTCACCTGCAGCTCCGCACTCAGTTATTATTTCATAACATTTGGAGGAAGAACAGAAGTCAAGCTTATCTCGCATTCAACACGACACGCGCATGCATGACGGCAAAAAGGGGAAATAGAAAGTGTAAATCATCTTCCCCTCCTACTGTGAACACACACATACTCACACACACACACTCACACACACACACACACACACACGCACACACACACACACACACACACACACACTCACTCACACACACACACACACATACATACACATA